GGAGTGGTCGCTTAGGAATGCCAAGTACTTTAAGCTTAGATGTGCGGATGGTGTAATGTATAATAACTCGGAATTGATAATTAAAGAGCCGAGTTCCAATTCCAGTTGGGTTCGTTATATTCACTTACGCGCAAATGCACTTGTGAAAGGTATGAATTCAACCTTTCTCCTCCAGCTATCGGTTAAACATTAAGACACGTATCACTAAATCATTATTATCTAAAGAAGAAGAAAATCGGAAAATCTAAAAATACTTTATTTTTTTGCTTTAAATAATCTGCAAAGTGTTGATAAGCCGTAAAAACGAATCAATCAATAAAACCAACCTTCTTCAGACTGGATTTGAATTCAGGGTTCTGCGTCTCCTAGACTATCTGCTGTTCAAAGATATGAGAGACCAATCTGCCCTGCTATTTAACTCATAGCTTGAGGAAGTTGGCTTCATGCCTTTGCGAAGTGCATCGACCGGAATTTGAACTCGGCATGCCGGTTTCTCGCTTTGAAACCATAAGCGTATACACTACCCGTATATCTAATAAAGGGTGTCTCATTAAGACGGCTCAAAGTCAACAGTAAATAAATCAGTGTTATTGGGGAACATTTATTTATTTCTCATTTTGGATCATGTTATTTAAGTTATGGCAATTACGTGTGAAAAATAATATTGCCCAAATATCCGCCAAGGCACACCTCAACTCGATGGTCAAAATTTTTGTTGACGTCTCTGCATAGTTGCTCCTTGATCTCACCAATATACCTTATTATCTCATCCTTCAGCTGTTGAATTGTTGGTAGTTTTCTGGCATAGACTTTTTGAGATGACCCCAAAGGAAGAAATCTAAAGGTGTCAATACGCACGATTGTGGTGGCCAATTGACTTCGCTGTTTTGAGAGATGATGCGACCTGGGAACTTCTCATTCAATAAAGCCATTGCTGCATTGGCTGAGCGACCTTTAACAGGTTGTTTAATTGCTAATCTTTCCATGCTTGAAATTGCCAAAGACTTAAGTTGGTAATTCTGAAAGAAAAAGAAAAAATCATTAGACACTTAAACTTAATTCACATTTAAAATCGGTCCAAGTTATTGGAACACCCTTTACATTTGTCTTTTTGATGCTCAATTTTCTTATTGACACTAAACAAATGTATACAACTTCCATTGTCTGATTCAGGGACTGAACACATAATAACGAAATAACTAATCCCGTGGAATAAATAAACGTTTCGCTTAACAGGTTTTCATTTCTATGCTTGGGCATGAACTGAAATACCTGACGTAATAAAAGAGAGGGGTTTCTTTTACATGCCTTTCTTATCCCAGGATGCGTACTGTTTTTGTTAGTACTTAAAATGGGTTGATTTTTCGTGACATATCATTACCTATATGGCTTATTTATTGCCGAATTCTAGTTTCAACTAACTATATTTTGAACGCAATTTTATGTCTTCAACTTCAGATAAAACGTATTGTCGGTCATTTTGCTATAAAATGTATGTTTGGTCATTTTGCTATAAAATGTATTGTGAGTAATTCTGCTATAAAAAGTATTGCTGGCCATTTTGCTCTAGAAATATATTGGTAATTTTAATATGAATAGGTATTGGTAGAATTTTTACTACAAATATATATTTTTGGTAATTTTTTATACAAATGTATTGTTATACTTTCATAGTGTTTTGTTTATGTTTTGTGTTGCATTATCCTCCTAATGCTGGGACCCAACCAAGTCCCAACACCCTGGGCCAGTGTGGACTAGGGGACAATAGCGATTAAGAGGTGGTTCCACACTCATCAAAACTTCCAATCTCCCGATCTGAGGCCTAACAGTCGGATGTCGTCTATCATCAAGAAGGTGTTTCACTTTGATTCCATGTCTTGCTCCAAATATTTGTTCTTAACTGCATATTCTTGATTTGAGCTTCTTTACTATTTGCAAACTTTACCCTTCGTTTGCAGGTGAAGTGTTCCCTCCAGTATACGCCTGGCTATATTTTCAAATGAAAAAACAGCATTTCTAAATATTTTTTTAATAGCTATATAGTCTAACCAGTTTTTAATGTCTTCTGTTGGTTCACAAGTGTCTAGGGTGTTCTTCAATTCAACCGTCGATTTTTCACTAAGCCATCGACTTGCACAAACTAAGTCATTTTCCTCCGTGCTGCTTACACAATCCAAGTTAATATTTAACAACAATTTTATATGTTTTTCTTTTTTACTTTTGTATTGAGGCCTTTGACCGATAACAATGATTTCTTATGACTTGCTCCGTGATTTGGCATTTTCTAGTGAGTTAGAAAACGTATCGATTTCTTCGTCAGTGATTTCTGGCGTGAATACATATACTGTTATGATAACGATATTGAAAGACCTCCCTCAATATTTCCTGTTGTATTTGTCTTATAACCCTAGACTAGGGGCCTTGCTCTGTTTCATCTTCACCCCATCTTCACACACAATTTGACAGTAAAACGATGGTTTGCCTAGGTGTTTTGAATCTGCAACTTGTCGGGTTAACAAGAGACAAAAAAAATGACGAAAGAGAAATCGGATTGTCAGTGAAGAAAATCACTTATGACGTTTTGCGTCGATTTTTCTCAACCCCTTCAAGAATTCAAAAGGCAAATTATTCCAGAGAGATATGCGACCAGTTACCAATTTCCTAGGTCTGGCGGATCCACATGGAAACGTAAGCGATGGTCGGCGGACGCCCACCTGGTTTTGTGTAAGAAAATTCACTTAAGGAAGTTCAAGAACTAATTGAAACCGAATCAATTCTCAGGTAACGGACTTTTCACGGGTACCCAGTAGACTTCTGGATTCGCTGTAGTTGGTCGGCTAATGCGTGGTGGTCGGCGAGCCTACGCGTGATGGCGGGCCGGCCAGATGACCAACGCGTGGTAGTCGTACAGCGATCTTTCTCGAAAGGAATGAGCAACAAACCGGTTCTGACAGCAAATCCCCTTGACACTTAACGCGCGTAGCAACCGTCTTACTTTAATTCATCGAGTCAAATATTCATTTATTTTTTTAATCGAATTAACCCAAGCAAGGCAGCAAAGCCAGTAAGACACAAGCGCTTCCTCTGTGTGTGAAAGAATTAAAGAACAGAGACATTATTAAGGAACAAGAACAATAAAAGAATAATAATGAGGATAGTAGATAATTATAGACATTGCATTTGAATTTTTGAAGATCAAAGTTTGTCGGAAAGCAAGGTGGTAGAAGAGAGTTTTATAAGTGAGTAATACAAGAAAAAAAACTGTTAGCATAGAACTTACGGCAACATGTAGCCAGCTCAGCTGTAAATTGATGAGACCTCGCCGCCAATCTAGTACTGTCCTTAAATTTTTAAAAGTCTAGGTACCATAGCTCATACGAATAATGAAAATATTTATAGAAAAACACGGCGGTTGGAAAGTGACTGAAACTGAGATGCCAGGTCAGAATTAATAAAATTGCTGATATTTCATTGGGTTTTATCCAGAACTAGCAGCATGGCCCGGCGTTGCCCGTGCTTGATTCAAAAATCGTACGACTCATACAGCAATCGCTATCACTTGACTTTAAATATTTTTTGCCCTTCCTTGCCTTTAAAGGAGTGCCCTTTTCCGTGCTGATGTTGCTACATGCCTTACTTCTTGCCTATCTCACACTGCGAATTTTTTCTAAGCTCTATACTAAACATTAAATCTGTTACGAAAAAAGAACTAAACAAAATGAACATAAAACGATCAGCTTTAAAAAAAGGACTCGTAACTGGAAAAACCGAATGAAAAAAGAATGTTAACAACAAATACTTTTTCACACCCAACCCAGTTCTGCGGAATCAGAATCAACGTTGAGTTTAAGCAAGCGAATGAGCTAATTGGAGTAAAGTGCCGTGCAAATTTAAATTTTTCCCACTTGTGACGAATGCAGTTATCGATTTTTTTTGCGTGCTAGCATGCTAGTTAACATTCGTGTCAGTCAGCTGTTGGCTCTCACGCTGGCCAATAGTATCTTCCTGCCTATTCGTGGCAGCCAGCTATTGGCTCTCACTCTGGCCAGTAGAAAATGGCTGCAAACTACATGAAAACTGCTGTAGAAGCATAAAAACATCGATTATTCCACTATCGATGGGAGTTGGAAAATGTAAAGTCGGTCTTGGCCTTCTCGTTGACTTGGAGCATGTGCATGTAAATTTTGGTGCAAATCGTCAAAAATTGTGGCCATGCATTCGTTACACACACACACACACACACACACATCCTGCCTTCTATAGATAGAGATTTCTAAATATATAGCAGAAGCACCGGACGATATGTGAAGCATGGGCGAATGACATATAGATATATAATATAGGTTAGAACCTTATGGACTGTTGCTAGCGTTGTACAAAGAACTGCATCAAATAAATAAAACCACTTCACTTGAGGACTTTTCACTAAAATGAATACTGTATGTATCCCGAAGAGAAAATAAGGAGACAATCAAGATGTTGACGATGCACACTAGTCCAAACAAAATTTTCGATATCAGCCCCCAAATGAAAGGAGCGATAACAGTTGAGAACATATTCCTGAATAATCGTTCTTACAGCAAGATTTCATACATTTTAGCTGTGCTCGGTCAATCGATACCGAGTGTTTCCTTATAAGGAAACAGCCAATATTACCGATGAATTTTGCCAATGCCAGAAAGAGAACACATGAGCATTGTTTACGTCTGTAGGAAAATAAGAACAAGGAAACAAATGCTTTGATTCATTTTTTACGGCTTATCAACCTTTTACACATTATTTAAATCCAGAAACTATTTTTAAATTTTTTCAGATAATAATGGTTTTTAGTGCTACAAGTCTTACTAATTAACCCTTAGACTGGCGAGAAGAGGTTGATTCATAACTTTTTTCAAAGGTATTTGTGCTTAAGAGAATAACACGAATCCAACTGGATTTGAACTCTGGTCTCCTATTAGCAATTACGAGCCATTATACATAACATCATCGTCACATCCAAGCTTACAGCACTCGGTATTGCCAAGTGGTCACCTATCTATGTAATGATCAGTCTCGGTGTTGCTTAACTTCGGTGATCGTATGGGCACTGGTGTTTCAACGTGATGAGGCCGTAAACTGAAAAAAATAGTTGGCTTTCTTGGGACACGTAATGAGGAGAGAAAGCATAGCGAATTTAATACTTTCAGTATGTAATGACCACAAAAGAAGCAGAGGGAAACAGTGAGTAAACGACTTAATGTGTAAGCGACTTAGTTCCTTAGTTATTTCGCACGACCGTGACGCCCTGCCAATACCTTATAAATAATGGATTATTCCGTTTTGAAAGCATGAATAAACGGAACTGACATTTTTAAAATCATTTCTCCCAAGCAAGGCGGAAATGCCTCTAGTCCACAGGAGATTACAGGTAGTGAAAGAAGACTGAGAATGGTGAGGATTGATGAAAGTACAAAAGATGAACCGGATTCAAGAAGAGAGAAGATGGTGATTGTTCGTTTAATTTAATTTTTTGAAGATTGTAGTTATAAGGAAGTAAACGGAAAGTAGTTCGACGGGGAAGTGAGAGAAAAGAAAATTTTGGAATAGAAGGGGCAGTTGCATTTATCTATTTCAACAGTAAAATACTCGGACCTAGATGCCAATCTCGCAGAACGCCTAAATACATGTAGTAGGGGCAACAGGGAAAAAAGCTCATCAGAGCGGTTGCCATAAAAATATTTGTAGAAAAAACAGAGGGAAGACACGTCATGTCGGTGAGAAAGTGTCTGAAGTCGAGATTTCTTGTCACATTACAAATCCTTCTTTGGACACTGTCAATAATCTTTAGATGCACAGCAGGTGCAATAGACCGAATATAGCAACAGTATTCAATACAAGGAAGAATGCCAGATTTGTAAACGTCAAAGATGGATTCTGACGAGAAAAATTGTCTGGCACGGCAAAGTGACCCAAGTTTCATTGCAGTAGATACAGCTATTGATTCGATGGTGTCACTCAACGTCATGTCAATGGAAAACGTGAGGCGAAGAAGTCGCAGTGTGTTGCTCTGCCATACTGATGGCAGGCAAAAAAAGTTCTCTGTGGTGGTTAAATAAAACAGTTTTGTCTTGGAGGCACTAAAAGCCATTTCCTGTCCCAGTCAACCACCATATCAGATACGCTACTTGGATTTAGTAAGAAAATAAAAGAATAGAAGAAAGAAAGACAGATAAATGTGTTTAATGCCAGTTTCATTGAAACAGAAAAAAGTCAATTTCAAATCTTTTCATTTGTACACCTTTGTATATAAACACATTTATTAATAAAATAAAAGGTTTGGAAGACAAATAGGCTAGTATATTCCGATGTGTAAATTGTTACTATTTTATATTTTTAATTTCGCGCATGCGCGTTGCTTGTTTTTGATTTTTTTGACTGAAAAGTATAGTAGGGTACAGTTGGGCACTGCCTGTGAGAAAAAGATTAGAATGACGCAATTCAATCCGACAGAAATTTGGAAACAGCATACTGTACTTCTTGGCATTCGCGTCGGAAGCTCCAATGCGAGCATTTTATAGTGTTTAAGCTCCAATACGAACATTTTAGAGTGTTTGGTTGCCAATCTGAGGAGAGTGCAGAGGTTTCGGAATGAGATGGATGGGACTAATGGGGATTACGAGGTTTTTGGAGTTTTTTAGTAATGGCGACATTATGACTCCATTCATCTTCCACAAGGTCTCAGACTGAACACGGAGGCCTACGTTAAGTGCTGGCCTGGGTCTATAGAGTGGCTACTAGAAAACACTATCCCTGACAAGAGGACTCTGCACCATATCACACAAGCAGGAGAACCCAGTCATGGCTGTTAGACAATTTCTGCGACCGCATCACTCCTTACATCTGACCACCTACCTCAACAGACTGCAAGTCCCTTGATTATTATGTGTGGGGTAAAATTGTACGACAGACCAGCAAAACTTCTTTATACACCAAAGATGAACTGAAGGCAACGATTATGGTAGGATTCACCAACTTGAACTAGGGGACTGTCCAGAAGAATTTCAGGAGATTCTGAAGTTGTTAGGAGACCGTGGTTGAAGCCAATGTTGATTTTTTAAAAAAAAAAATTTACTCTTTAATATTTCAAGATATATTTTGTGTAATTTTAGTAAATATATCTGTTAAAATGAGATGTCAGTCTCATTTTCATTTTTGCTTAATTTTAACGACAATTTATTCACTACATGCTGTAGAAATGTATTAAAACGTATAGGAACCGGTTAGCAAATATTGTTGTTGTTATTTACACTATTTATATTGTTCGGACTGTTGTTCTCATCATCATTGTCATATTCACAAGGTCCTCCGGAAAACATGGCCCAGTGGATAAAAGCGTTGTTTGAATCCAATGACTTGACCCAAAGAGTTTTGAGTACAATACAACTGAGGTGACAAAAAAAGGTGAACGAAAACTGAGTTAAAGGGAGATAACTCATACTGAAGCATTTGGAAGAGGCATGACATGTGGAACTAGAACAATATACACCGATGAACGAAATAAAGTGTTCAGTTCGAAAATTCCAATTACCTGAAATAGGCCGGAACGAACAACGGATAAAACACCGTTAATATAACAACGAAGATGTGGAGAACAGTCCGAACAATGTAAATATTGTAAATAATTACAATATCTCATCTCGGAAATATAGACATTGTTGTTAATAGTTTTCGACGTAACACGTTACCAGGAATAATATTTTTTGTTCTTTCTCTTGCTCTCATTTGATTTATCAGATTTATATCATTGGAACTGCGGTGTTTCTAATTTTCATCAACGACCCCACCCTGATGTCATCAATTCTCAACTCAGTATCTGTTATAATGTTTGTATAAGCTCGTAATTCTGGTTGCTAATATTCTAAAGGAAAACACTGGAACAAAAGGTTAATGAAGAAAAAAAAAACAATCTCGCGGATTAATAATACAAAAACTTTGCGACTATATTATCTCTCCCTTGCAACTCCTCTCATAGTCAATCGAAAAGTCGATGGGCACCGATTTAAAGACAATTTGATCACTAGAACAAAAGATTAGTAAAGAAACTGTTTACTCTCGTAGATTAATAACACTACTAGCGAATATCGTAGTTAATTCGAAAGGTTTTTGCGACTACATTGTTTTCACTTGCGTCAATGGAAGAGTCAATGGGCAACAATTTCATGTAACGAAGGTCAATCGTTTTTCTACACAACAGTATCTCTGATGATGACACAATTGTTTATTTTTTCTTTTCGTGGTAAGTCTAATCAGTTCGATAAGATAAAATTGGTAGATGATCTTTGAAAGACCTACTATCTGTTGTTAACAGTAGCAAGGAATAACTTGTCAATTTTAGCGCCTCCAAAACAAAATTACTCTCAATTAATTGCCCGAGAAAACCCATTTTGTTCTCCATCATCCAGGTGAGTAACTCATTGCGTCTTCTGAGGTTAACGTTTTCCATTGACGTAAAATGGAAAGAGTATATTGTATCAATTGCTGAGTCTGCAGCTAAGAAAGTTGGTTTACTGTGTCGTTTTAGACAATTTTACTCGCCAGAATCTATCTTACAACTTTACAATTTATTGACCCTACTTTTGAATATTGCTGCCACATTTTGTCTGGGGCAAAATATTTAGAGATTTTTGATAAAAACCAAAGAAGAATCTGCAATGTTATTGGTCCTATTCTAGTATCTCGGCATCAATCAATTTCCCACTGTCATAACGTAGCTTCACTGCGACCTTTCTATAAATACTCTCACGGTAATTGTTCTCTAGAACTTTCCAATATTGTACCTAGATAAATAAATGTAAGCGCAGTTCTAGATTGGCGATAAGGTCTCATCATTTTACAGCTGTAACCGTAAGTTCTATGACAACAGTTTCTTCTCTCGCACTTCTCGCTTGTGGAACTCGCTTCTGGCTTCTTGCTTCTCTCTTAATTTTGATCTTCAAAAATTTAAGGGCAATATCAGTCATTATCTTCTGCCTTCTTAATTTTTGTTCTTTCATTGTACTCTCTCTTTACTAGTAATCTTCTTATCTTCCCTAACGCTCAGTAACCAGTTGGGGCTCAGTGGCTTTATTGGCTTGTTTGGGGTGAATTGATTAAAACATATATGTTAATGGATATATACTGTTTTAAAATGCCCGTTTTTAAGACAATAATAAAATTTTGTCTCACAGATTATTTCAATACTGTCGTATTATCTGAGAGAGAAGCATATCAAAAAAGTAAGCAAATGTACGAAGCCTAACACGCAGTATACTCATTATAATACTAAGGTTGATAAGGATATACCAAAGACATGTATCACATTCAAATATGTGCGATATAGTGACAAATTTTGATGAAGACAATGCACAATTTTGCAGCTCGGGCCCAGTTAGAAATACGTCCAGTTCGGTTAATTCAGCCCATTTAGACGATCTCGGTTTGAGGCTGTTCTGATGTAACTTGATGTGTCTCCTAAATCGCGTTGTATACCACAATCTTCAAACTTAACGAAAAACTCCCCTCGACCATGTCATAATTCGTCCCCACTCCCACTACTGCCGCTAGTTAATAGAGGTGCACAGTGCGCCAGGCCATGAAAAGCAAATCTGGGCTGCAGGATGGATAATTTAATGTAGCTCAAATTAAGTATAGGAGAAAAAGAAATTGGACATAGACTAGACTATGCCAGAGAGTTTCGCACAATACCGCAAATTACCCCGAAAACAAAACCTCAAGTTGAAAACTCGTGTCATGTTCTTAAATAGCCTCGTCAGATCGAGATTTTCATATGGATGTTATGCATGGCACGAAACCCGTTCAGAAATATCTAAATTGTCAGCTGTATACGACCGCTTCCTAAGATCAATGGATAAAGGGCAAGTATAGCCTGAAGATCTTGGCAAAGATTATCCTTCTTTGACCATTCTGGACTGGCACTGGCGCTTCACTAACACAGAACTGCGCCAAATAACAGAAACCACATTACTTGAGGACTAACAAAAGCAGCAATGGAAAAATGGATTGCATGTGTAACACGAAAAGAATGATATAAACAACATGCTTATGTTGCACGTGACTTCAAATGAAAGGCTAGTA